CGAATGTGATAGATACTCGACATGGTCGGTGTTTGTTCCTATGACGGCATGCGCGGTCCCGCCCTGCAGCACCCCCACCCCCCTACAGCCACCCACCCACCACTATACCTACCTCCTTACCACAGTTGAACCCAACTCCCTTTCCGTTTTACCATCCCCTCCCCCTTCCTCCCTTCGCCCATCCCCCTCCCCCTTTCTCTTCCCCCTTTCTCCCTGGACTCTTCCCCGCCCCCTACCTGTCCCAGCACCAGCGCCCCGCCCCCGTCCCTGGAGCTCCCCGCCGCCAGCCGGGACCCCACCCCGCCCTCCAGGGGGGACCGCTCCTCCACAGCGCCGAAGTCCGACTTGTAGAAGGGCACTCGGGGCTGGCCGTCGAGGTACAGAGCTGCAGTACCCGTGTCGTACTCCCACGTAACGGCCACGTGGTGCCACTGGTCGTCAGTCCTAGCAAGGGAAGGTGGTGTTGAGTTTAGGGGGGAGGTGGGGGAGGGGGGAAAAGACGAAGAACCACGAACGAGTGAAGCTGCTGCCAGGGCAAGTGTGTACCAAGAGGAGAAATGACCAAAAGGCGTTCTTCTCAAAAGGCGGCGACCTAGGGATGATGTAGGACACCTACCTACCTACCTACCTAGCCGCCAAGACTAAAAAAGCGCGGAAGAAACGCAGTTGTGCCAAGCCGTAAAAAAGTAAAGGTAGGAGTAGAGGCGGCGAAAGAGTAGTAAAAAAACTGCTGACGTGAAGCTGTAATAATGTCGCCAGGCCGGCGGTATTGACGAGGTTTGGCGAAGAACTGGCTGATTAGCTGGTCATAAGCTGCTGGTGATATGCAAGTGCTCCTCCCAATCCCCCAAACAAACGCGCGACCAACCCGACCGACCCGACTATCCTACTCCGGCTAGCCGACCGACGCAACGCGATATGCACCGACAAAGCTCAAACCTCCTTCGGACTCACCTGGCCAGGCAGCAGAAGCGGCGGGCAAGGAGGGTACATGCGAGGAGGCAGAGAGGTATCAAGGTTGTGAGCAGGGTGCAATGAAAAACAAAAATACGTGCGAGTGCCGCTGCAAGACGTTTTGGCTGGCGGGCTGAGGAAAAAGAAGAAACTAAGTGAAAGGGGAAGAAAAAAAGGGGGGAGGGGGAAACCATGAACGAGAGGGATGGGGGAGGGGGGAAAGACGAATCACGAACGAGTGAAGCTGCTGCCAGGGCAGGAGGGGGATGGGGGGAGGGGGGAGGGGCGGGTAGATGCAGGCAGCTAGCGCAGGCAGGTAGGTGCTATGCTACCCGCGCGCAGCCATCCCCGCAGCCAGTTATCCCCGCAGCCAGTTATCCCCGCAGCCATCCCAGTCCCCCACCGCCCCCCAGTCCCCCCAGTAGCGCACCACTTGGCATCGAACATGATGACCGCCTCTCGGCCCGGGTTGTCCGTGTTCTCGTTGCTGTTCACGTGGAGGGCCACCGCGCCTGCGCCAGGTGGGGCGGCGGGACCGAGGCAGACAGACAGACAGGCAGGCAGACAGACAGACATGCAGACATGCAGGGGGATAAGCATAAGCCCCAGCGACCGCTGGCCATTCGTAACACAATACCTACCTACCTACCTACATACATACATACATATATGCTCTGGCTATCATTGCTTGGCTAACTACCGTGCCTGTATTGTGTGTATGTGCACACCCTATGGGCCCCCCCGATCCCATTGGGAGGTCCCCCAGCAGCAGTAGCAGCCGCAGCAGCAACACCAGCGGCCAGGAGGCCATCCCTGACCCCACTACTGAGCACTACGGTGGTCCCTCATCAGTCGCACATTAGGTGGAGACCATGAAGGCGGCCGCCGCGAGGTGGCCATAAAGGTGCGCCGTACACTAACGTACGGCCGGAATGGATGTACGGCGCTAGCTACGGCACCAAACAGAGCTCGTCACACCTGCCGGCTGCCAAGCGGAGCGAATACAGCACCCACCCACCCACCTAGCTGTAGCCCCTGCACTCCCATCCCCCCCCCACTATCACCCTCTCTCCCCCCCACACACACACACACATACACAATGACGACCCACCCCCGGTATTGTCGATCCAGGAGGGTGCGCCGTACTTGCTGCGCCGCTGTACACTGGAAGCCAGGAGACGTTCTATCCGTACGGCATCGTCCAGGAAACCTGGGGCCTGGTAGCCGTCTGAAGCACGTACGAGGATTTGGTACGAACGGGTTACGTACGGGAAAGGCCTTACATTACCAGGGTGCTCAGCAGGTGGGGCTTCGCACAGCCACCCCGGCTCGTGTCGGCCCCATACATACATACATACATACATACATACATACATACATACATACATTGGCAGGTGGCTGGCAGGCGGCTGGCAGAGGTTAAGGCCTAACTTCTGCTCCCGGAGGTCCCGGGTTCAAATCCGCCTGCCACCCCCTCGGTGAGTGAGGATGTTGAATTGGGAGGTGGCCCCCCCCATCTTGTGGACGGTGTGGACGTGATTATATCAACATGCGAGCTGACCAGGAACTAAGTTGAGGCGCCGTTGATCCGCTAAATTTGGTTGGATGCTGGTGGTGAGTTGCTGAACCCAACGAACACGTTCCGAAGTCGGATGGGGTGAATGGATTAGGGTGCCCCTCTCGCAGGGGAGAGCAGGGACTGCCCCGGGGTGAAGCTATACCACCCTGTAACAACATCATACATACACACATACACACGTGCATCTACTCGTGCATGTCAGCAAGCAGACAGGCAGGTCGTCAGCCCGCCGCCCCCCCCCCCTGGGCCCCCCCCACCACCACCACATACCCACCCGACGTGGTCTTCTGCGCGGCGTAGCTGAACAGCTGTGTGGCGCGCTGCTGCAGGTTGTCCAGGGACTTGGGTTGGGTGAGTGTGGGTGGGTGTGGGT